TGCCAAGGAATGATAATGTAAAATATGCAATGGTTGAAACCTGCCTTACTTAAAACTAACTTGTTTCCAAATCGTTATGCCTTTTCTCTCGATCTTTTTCTCTGTCTCTAATGGCTGAAAAGTCACCCAAGCGAGCGTAGCGGCGTCTCAGCCAAATAAATAATTGAGTTTGCGTTTCGGCGAGGGCGCTCTGGCGCCGGCGGCCGCCCTGCCAGCCCTGCCAGCCCTGCCAGCGTCGAGGGCTCTTGTGCAATAATGGGTCAGGGATGCCAGCGTGCGAAAACTAGAGCAAATTGGGAAGAGCGTCGGCCGCAGGACCTAGGGGCGTGAAACACGCAAGCGCAAAGGGCGCCGAGCGAAAGGACACGAACTGTGTTCAAAACTGCGAACGTCCTTTTTCATCGACTTTCCATGGAAAATAGCATATGGACAGACCGTTGCCCACATGTTTTATTGCGCGAAAATATGTCATATTTTCCCTCCAAAAGTCGTTGTCGACGCGTTGGTACTATTACACATTATTGTTATCTCATAGCAGGGTAAAGTCGTCCTTAATTTGCTTTTTGGGGGGTGTCGAGTCGGGGAAGCCGTATATTCAGAGACGCAGGAGGCGAGCGCGGCGCGTCTGGTGGTGGAGAAGCCGCTCAAATTAAAGGCCTTGGCATTGTATATTCAAGCTCGAGCCCCCGCGGAGCCTTGCGGAGCCCTGCGGAGCCCCCCGCTGCGTGACCCGCCGCGCGCCCTCACCTCAAGCAGCACAAACACAGGGACTTCCCTCTGCAAAAATATTGCGAGCTAAAGGAGGCCCGGCCTGATCCTCTCTCCTCTATCTTTTTCTATTTTTGCAATGCAAATCACTGTGACGGTAAGAATTTTGTCGTCTCCGGCGGCAGCGGCGCGTACCGGCAACACTGGACCACGCAGGGAGGTGGAGGGGGGGTTTGGGGCGCCGTGACCTTCAAGCGAAAGGGAGAGGATTTATAGGAAGCGGGAGGGGGTGGGTGTAAGGG